GTTTGGTCATTGCCCATATAGTCTGGCTCGTAACATAAACATAATTTTGTGTGTGTGTGTGTGTGTGTGTGTGTTTCTTTTTTATTGAGTTTTTAAAATAATAAATGACAGTGGAATGCGTTACAATTCTTATTACACATATACAGCACAATTTTTCATATCTCCAGTTGTATATAAAGTATATAGACACCAATTCTTGTCTTCATACATGTACTTTGGGTAATGATGTCTGTCACATTCCACCATCCTTGCTAACCCCCTGTCCCCTCCATTTCCCTCCCACCCCTCTGCCTTATCTAGAGTTCCTCTATTCCTCCCATGCTTCCCCTCCTTACCCCACTATGAAGCAGCCTTCTTATATCAAAGAAAACATTCGGCATTTTTTTTTCTTTTTTTTTTTGGACTTGGCTAACTTCACTTAGCATTACCTTCTCCAATGCGATCCATTTACCTGCAAATTCCATGATGTTATTCTCTTTTTTTGCTGAATAAAATTCCATTGTGTGTATATGCCACATTTTTTTTTTTATCCATTCATCTACTAAAAGGGATCTAGTTTGGTTTCCCAGTTTAGCTATTGTGAATTGTGCTGCTATAACATTGCTGTCTCTGTAGTGTGCTGATTTTAAGTCCATTGGGTTTAGACTGAGGAGAGGGTTAGCTGGGTCAAATGTTGGTTCCTTTTCCAGTTTTCCAAGGAATCTACATACTGCTTTCCATATTGGCTGCACCAATTTGCAGTCCCACCAGCAATATATTTTTCCCCACATCCTTGCCAACACTTATTGTTGTTTGTCTTCATAATAGCTGCCATTCTGACTGGAGTGAGATGATATCTTAGAATACTTTTGATTTTTATTTCTCTAATTGCTAGAGATGATGAACATTATTCCATATATTTATTGGTTGATTATATATCTTCTTCTAAGAAGTGTCTGTTCATGTTCTTGGCCCATTTATTGATTGGGTTATTTGTCAAATAATTTCTTATATGTTTGACTCTATTTATAAAATTTAATGTCATTTTTGAAAGAGAAAGAGAGAGAGAGAGAGAGGGAGAGAGAATTTTTTAATATTTATTTATTTTAGTTTTCGGTGGACACAACATCTTTATTTTATTTTTATGTAGTGCTGAGGATTGAACCCAGTGCTCTGTGCATGCCAGGCAAGCATACTACCGCTTGAGCCACAATCCCAGCCCTCTATTTGTAAAATTTATTATGAGACAAATATCAAACTATTTAGGAAAAAATAGTCAATTTTCACCAGTTTATAAATGATAAATAAATTCACAATATGTATTTTTATGAAAAATTACAAATAATTTATTAAATAATCAAACAATTACATATTTTAGAAAGTATGCAGATTTAATTTTTAAAATTTTTTGTTTATTCTGCTCTTTACTTTAAAGCTAAATTAATATTGCATTTATTTATCCATTTATAACAACATTTAATATGTACTATAGGTTCTCTTGTGAATATTTTGGATAGAGTAACAGGAAGAATGTGGCATCCATTTATTGATATAAGAAGAAAAAATCAAGCGATGAGTAAATTTAAGGGGCTGGAGATGTGGCTCAAGCAGCAGCACGTTCGCCTGACATGCATGCGTCCTGGGTTCGATCCTCAGCACCACATACAAACAAAGATGTTGTGTCCGCTGAAAACTAAAAAATAATAAATATCAAAAAGAATTCTCTCTCTCTCTCTCTCACTCTTACTCTCTCTTTAAAAAAATGAGTAAATTTAAGACAAAAGTGGAAAAATAGAAATATCAACATGCTATTGAGTATAATAAAAGGATTCTATGTGAGAATGATCTACTTATTGATTCACTGATCACAAAATAATAATTTCATATCAACCTCAGTTCTTGGGTTGGTTTCAGGTAAAGTTTTTATTTTCCTTGATAATCCTAGCAAAATAGAGAAGGATATTTCTTATTTCAATGCCAGATAACCTCTCAGTCTATTTTTCATTATCTATATTCAATGTAAGCCAGAAGCAACTCACAATGGTTTATTGGAGAAAAACATTTGCCATCACTGGAGTTAGCAAGCTTATATGAGCATGTGTGGAGTTTAGATGAACAAAGTGAGCAAAACTGATAGTATCTGAACAGGGAAACCTACATTTAGTGATGATTCAGCTTATTTTGCCACAAAGTGATCCTCATTTAGTAGTTTTGATTTCCCTTTTTTCAGTTGATTATGGTCAATTGGAATCTGAAAATATTACATTTAATTTTCAAAAATCATTCACAAGTTTTAATTCTGCATTATTTTTACTGTGGTAAATTCTTATGCCATCCCACTCAAGATGTGATTTTTTTCCAAACTCCATGTCACAATGCCTGTCATTGCTGAAGGTATGAATTAAACTTTATTATATGTATGTATGTGTTAGAAAAAAACACAGTAAATTGAGATTTCAGTACTGTCTCCAGTATCAGGCACTGGGATCTTGGGGTGTATCCCTGGTAGACAGTGCATGTGAGAGAATCAAAGCCTCTCAAACATTTAACATCACATTCCAAATTCTTTGTCATCGAGTAGCCCACTTAGTCAAATTAGGTATTTATTTTCAATATTGAAGAAAATTCAAGTGGAAAATTGATAGAAAAAAATGCACATAGAACTGAACAAACATATTATTGGTGATTTGTTATAAAAATCAGTCTACAACTCAATAAGAATTTAATTAGACCTTAGTTACTCATCTAATATGTATAACAATATCCAACAAAAATCATGAATACTTCTATGTACAAAAAGCCTTTATTTATGTACTTAGGAAGAATATATTTTCCTATCAGAGTCTAAAGAAATCCTGCTAAGAAGGGGCAGAATGCATAACTACCTCATTCTAACATAATCAACATCACTGTTTTGGGCTGGATCTTCATGGATACATGCTGTCTGGCTGACTTTAGGATCTAAAACTCTTTCAGTGACATAGCATGATGATTATTAATTATAATTAAGCATTGAAATGGTAAACATTAACTTTCTATTTTAAAATAATTGAGGCTTCCAATAAATACTGATTGCTTTAACATAATGCTGATGACAATTAATTCCACCAATCTAGCCCAATTGCTGTGAAGACACTGATTTGGGGTTTGTTGCTCCTTCTCATCCACAATTTCACAAAAAAGGCAATCATAATGTCAATAGAAAAGACCCCAACATCTTTCCAGTGATGACCTGTACTAATAATTTGATATGCTTCTTCCATGTTTAATCACTACCTATACTTAAAATATGCTTACCATGTCCTGACATCATTAAAATGATCAGTCTTCATAATCACACTTAATATTTCAAGGTATATTGAAATTCAGACAAAAAGAAACTGCTCTGTGCATGTTGGTTCCCTGTTTTCTTTTTCACAAATACATATTTCTAACTGATGTTTCTCTCTTAGTATAGGTTAAAATAAATGAAGTAAATTACATCAAAAACTCCACTTGAAATAATGTTATTATACACTAAAATTTATACTATAAAATCAACACTAAGTTATCCTTCCAGTTTATGTTTTTACATAATACATGCTATTTATTTTAGAGTTCATAACCACTTTCTACAGCAAATATTAAAAAGAATTTAATCTAATAATGGTCTGATGTGATAATTTCACAAATGTTAGTGATGTATGGTATGTTTTTCATTAGATTTTTATACTACATACTAAAAATTACCATTTGCCTAGTTAAGAACAATGGATTAGGTGTCATGAACAACCATCTAAAATCCAGGAGAACTTTAATAACAAGGAGCCATTTGTTTGGTAATAACAATCCATTCAGTTCATCTGTTTAGCATATAAATTAAAAAACATGGATCAAACCTGATTACTCTAAATTGATTGGTTCTCTGAGTGCTAATGCTGCTGTGCTAGGTTAACACTAGCATCTGTTACAAACAATATCTTATCATAAAAATCATATGTTCATTCAAGTTCACATATAAATAAATACTCAATTTTTTAAAATTTCAGCAGTAATATTTATCATATTATCATTAAAAGTGAAGAGCAGAAGTAAATTCACTTCTAAGTAAATAATATGAAAATATTTGTTAAATGCTAAGCTATACTTACACTTGTATAATTAATTTAATTACAAACATTTTTGAAATGTATGCTTTTGTTTTTGTTTTTTGTTTTCATGTGTAGGGGGTACTGGGAATTGACTTCAGGGGCACTAAAGCACTGAGCCACATCCCAAGACCTTTTGTGTATTTTATTTAAGGATAGGGTCTCACTGGTTTCCTTAGAAACTCACTTTTGCTGAGGCTAGCTTTGAACTTGCTATCCTCCTGTCTCAGCCTACTGAACCACTGGGGTTATAGGCATGGGCCATGGCAATGGGCTGAAATGTATGTTATTAATACAAATCTTAAAATCTTAAGAAATAGAACTTTATTTAACCACGTAAATAAGAATTTTATTAAATACATGATCTGTTAATATTTTCTCAATTAATATATTATATTTTATAGTTTAGTTTTAAATGTTTTCATCAATAGGCATTAAGAAAAATCTATTTTATACTGAATGAATTAATAAAGGTGATTATCTATACCTCAGTGATCTAAATTTTGATTTCAAAACTTAGAGGTTATTGGAGATTTTCATAAACTCTCATTATGTTGAATGTGTACGTAATTTGCAAATAATCTTTTTTCTTTAATATATAATTTAATCTCTGATGATAGAAGCAAATGCTAACAGGAGATACAAAATTTCTGAATCCACATACAACAATTTAACAGACAAAAGAAAACTAATCTTGTTTTAAAAATGTAACTTCTAAAATCCCTCCTTTTTGTTCAGTCCTAATTCTCCTGACTATCCTCCTTAAGACGATAGTTCTTATTCTGCCATAATTCATGATTTAATGATGAATTAATGATATATTTCTACCTTCTTAAAACAGTTTCATAGGGATTATAATTTTATTTAAAATAAATAAAAATGTTGCAGTTCTTACTTGGCATGATAGTTTGAGTTACACAAGTCAGCTAAATGGACCAAGGAGGATCCTGACCTGGAATAGATTACATGGATTATTCACAAGTTGTATTTTAAATTTGTCAGATACTAACATAAGATAGTATGTTATGTTCTCTCTGAAGAGTTCAAATGAATGCAGCTTTTGCACATTTTTTAAATATTTAAAGAATATTTTCCTGTGTAAGACTCTACACTTGGTACATGAATACAAAAATACTAAAAGAAAAAAAATTCAAAGAACACTGAGTATAGCTGTGGAGTCAAAAGTAAGTAAATAATATTATGAAATAAGAATGCAATAATAGAAGAAGCACAAAGCATAGAGAGAAAAATCAAAATTCTTCTAAGTAATATGAAAAAATACAGATAATATAACACTTACTTGTAGTTTAGATAAAATCTTTAAGCAGACAATATAAGATATCAACATAAGTAGAATCTTACATATTGTTTAGTGGTTATAAGGTCTAAATGACAACTAACTTTGCAGCCCAAACTCTGGTAAAATGCTTAAACTATTTATCAGCCTGACTAGAGTAGAATCAGGAAAGCATTTTGGGAATCAAATTTGCTGTGGATGAAGCATGAATTGCTGTGGGAGTTTGGAGGCATGTACCTCTGTGGAATTGCAGAGAACCCACATCATGAAGGTTTCTTATGACTCCTTAAGGAATAATAACTGGTTTTATTTTTGTGTGTGTGTGTGTGTGGTGCTGGGGGGATTGAACTCAGGACCTTGTGCATGCAAGGCAAGCACTCTACCAACTGAGCTATATCCCCAGCCCCAAGAATAATAACTGTTCCACAAGTAAATTTATCCATAATCTATTCAGGGGAACACCAAATCAACTGAACATCTATCCATGCTTGTCTTAGCTTACAGTGATATAATGTAAGAGCAAAAATTGGGTGGTTTAAATCAGGTAACTTGAGAAACTAGAACATCAAAAATGAAGGTGCTGGTAGATATAGACACTGGTGAGGGGTTTCATTGTAGTTAATAGGTGGTAGGTACCTTCTCCTTATGACCTTACAAGGTAGAAAAGAAAAGCAGGCTATTTTAGAATTTTCATATGAATAATAGTTCCATCCATGAGGGATCTATTGTCATGTCCTTATCTAATCCTGATTACATCCCATATACACCTACCTCCCAATAAAAATCTTATTAGGAGGCAGTGTTTCAGAATATAGATCTTAAATGGACTTTAGCATTCACTCTAAAACAGGTTTATACCAGAAGCAGAAAATACACAAACAACAAAACAAAGACACAGATTGGAGTTCTCATCAAGGTTACATTTTAAGAAAAGAAAGAAATCATATGTGCCCTTGAAAAGGAAAAGAAAATACCAAAATGGTGTAATGGTGTAAGGAGATAAGGCATATGAGAATTAAATGGCGCAATATATATATATATATATATATATATATATATATATATATATATATATATACACTGGTTATATTTAAAAGGTTAGGTGAGAGCAAAGACTTGATGGAGGTAAATCACCTTGACAAGTTGAAATCCCAGCGTCCCAGGCAAAGGGAAGAAAGACCAAAGAGACAAGACCAGTGGGAGTAGAGTGAACACTGGAGAATGTCAAAACAGTAGCAGTTTATTAAAATATTTAAGTTGGCACTACCTCAAGGTTGAATTAACAAGAATATGTATTCTTACCTGATTTTCATGTGTTCTATATTCAGAGAGAAAAATGACTTTTTTTCACAAGGAAAAGAGTAAGCATCTAAAGACAATGTTTTGAAGACTTGCTTTTTATGCATTTCCTAACAAATTTAAACAATACTTGTTCTATGGTATAGTTAGAATAGATCTGTTCAAGAAAATCACTTCTAACAATTGTTTTAAGAACTCTATCTTGGCTGGGAATATAGCTCAGTTGGTAGAGTTCTTGCCTCATATGCACAAGGCCCTGTGTTCAATTTACAGCCTCACAACAAACAAACAAACAAAAGAGAACATCTATCTTAACTGGGCATGGTGGCACATGCCTGTATTCCCAGCTAATCAGGAGGCTTAGGAAGTTCAAGGCCAGCATGGGCAACTTAGTGAAACCCTGTCTCAAAACGTGGTGTGTGTCTCAGCTGTAGAAGACTTCTAGGTTCAATTTTCAGTTGGAGAGATTGAGGGAAATTAAAAAAAAAAAAAAAAACCCTGTGCCTATTCCTATATAATAGCATCCCATGCATTTAGTGTAATCATATTCAAGGAATAAGGCAATCTAGAAAACTTTATCATACTAGTCTATCAAATACACAGAACTAAATGCACCCACCAAAATGACTCATATTGATTTGAACTTTGCACAGGAGAAGGTAGAAGTAGTAGATTAAATTAGCAAAATTCTCAAAAATAATGTTCATATGGAAAAAAAAAAGTAGTTTGTACCAGGTACACCTTTGACACCAGTGGCAGTCAGCAAATGAGTGCCTGTTTATAATTGAGAAAAAGGTGTGTAAAAATAGTTACCTGCTTCAGACCCAATTATTATCCAGAGAATCTGTCTATGGGTAAAGTTATAAACTTCTCTCTGATTGTTTGTGTATTCATGACATTGTTTGATCTTTAACATGGTACAGTAGAATAAAATACACGTTTACAGTCTTCAGTATGAATCCAAATAACTTCTCACAATCCATTTTGTCACTGTCTGGATGAAAAGTGTTTTAGGGCAATCATTGGACAGGTGCAGGCTCAAGGTCATGTAACTATTGTTTAATCTACAGAGTTTCAGTGTGCTCATTCATGTGATAAAGGAAATGCACATATGATCAATTGAATTAGAAAAGGGTTTCAGTTGCTTTCCTTATATCTAACTCTCCTCTTCTGAGCATACAAGGTGGTAATATTTTATTATACCTTGTGGCTGAGTGGGGCCATGTGACTAACTTTCACCAACTACTAGTCTCTTGTGATTCACCTGGGAAGCAGAATATTAAATTTTGGTGAAAGATGGACAAATTTCTATTCCCATATTATGGTAAATGAAGAAAGTTCTTTTTTTTTTTTGAGACATACTTCTGCAGAATCAAAACAGCATGGATCACCAGAGCACTGCATGTGGCACAGTCATCCTGGTGAGAAAACATAAAATTTTTGAGCATGAAATATTTTATTATGTTTTACCACTGAGATTCAGGAGTAGTTTTTAAAATAGCTCAAAATAACATTTAGGTGCAAGTTTTCATATATCTCTCAAAATAGTACATATCATTAACTTTCCTTGTAAAACCACATAACTCTATATAGTCATATATCACAGAAGTCTGAGACAATAACAAGCACATGTTCACACTGTATTACATGCATGCACAAACACAGGGATTTTGAAAGTTGATGCTAAGCAGAGGCAGGAGGGAAATTTTTAGTCAGTACAAACTTGATACATTCTTGTGATTAAGATTTTAATGCTATTGTTTTAAGGCTAATATTTTAATGTTTTAGTTAGAAAGACTGATGTTTCTTTACAAATATTATATTAACATTTGTGTATGTTAATGTATTTGAAGGGATGCAAATAACAAATAGATCAGAAGTTGTATTAGTTTGCTTTAGCTGCCCTAACAGAACACCCAGAGTGATTTAAACAAGAGAAATTTATTCTCCGATGGTTTTCTAAGATCGAGTTGCCTTCAGGTGAAGTCTTCCTCTATACTTGCTGATGATACGTTTTTACTGTGTCTTCACATGTCTTTTTCTCTATGTTCAAGCTGAGACAGTGAACTTTCTAATATCTGTGATTCTTCTTATAACATCAGCCCTTTGAAAATAGAACCTCATTCTAAGAATTCAATTAACCTTAATTATCTCCCAAAATAGTCACAATGGGCCCTGAGCTTTAATATACGAAATTTGAGAGCACACAATTTTATCTAAAACATAATCATCCAGAATTCTCTCCTTCAGGGAGTAAAAGTATATCAAAGATGGATAAGAAGCATCTCTCCAAACCACATAAACCAAACCTCCACTTTTTGTAGGGGTTAATTCAACCCAAAGGCAACCTTTTAAGATCATAATCAAGTAGTCTCTGACTATACTTTGAGGGGAATGTGCATTATATCAAGTGTGCTCTCATACACCTTCTGTTCTGCTTTGTTAATACCAATCACCTCTCCTTTGCAAATCTTCCTAGCACCAAGAACACTGAGAAAACTTCACTCCAGAAGATTCTGAATGCGTAACAAAAGAATAATTACAGCCTTAATTCTAGTGTATCTCTGTGATCAAAGCTAAATATGCTTAGTTCATCCTATTATAATTATTCTCAGATTTATTATCCAACTGAACTTAAAAATCTATAATGATATCAAATGTCAAAATTTAAGTAGTTTCAAAGTAAAATGCAAATATTTATATATCCTGTATTTGATTATAAATTCCTCATTTTTACAAAATTTGCAAGCAGAATTTAAATTTAAAATTTCCTTTGGGAATTAAAATCTAAACAAATTGTGATAGTAGGAGCAAATGTGACTCCATTTTGTCTTATGACTTCATCCTGTAAAACAACCATGCCAAGTAGAAGGGTCATGACTGGGGCAAGATGTTCTTTTCCTTTTGCTATAGAAACCTTTAAGAACACAAAACTACCTAATGGGGCATTGTTTCTGTAACTAGATTAATGGGGTGGGGGGGGCTATTTCTATAACTGGGGTGACTGGGCTAACTGTAATTGGTTAGGCTTCCCAACACTTGACTACACTCTCTCGCTTCTGTAACCTGGCTTGCTTGCCTTGGCTAGACCCTGAACATCCCTTTTGCGGTTGTGAGGCTTATAAGGAGTGCCCTTGCAATTGTTCCGGGCTGATCAGGGGAACAGCTTTATGTTCTGGTCAGCTAGCACCGGTGTGCTTCAATAAAGGCTTGATTCGATTATACTTGAGTGGTCTGGAAGTCAGTTTATGAAACCCTGGGACGAAGCTTTAAAAATAACAAAATAAAAGATCAAAATTCTTACGTACAAATGTACAGAAGTTAAAGTACAAAATAAGATTATTTAACATTCTGAATTAAAGAACAAAACATGTACCAATCTGGCCCTCTTCAGAGTTTTAATTTGTCTTTTGAAAATCAAATTGTCTGTTTCCATGGCCTGACATATGTTTCCATTGAAATAGCCATTGCATCCTGAGTTTCAAAGTTTCATTACTCCAATATGAAAGCTCTCCAGTGTTTGATTTGTTTAAAAATTCTAAATGTATAATAGGACAGATAAACATGGCACTGCGCTCACATCTACCAAATTCAGAAGCCAGACATGCCAAGAGGAAGCCATCATTTCCTTAATAACTACACTTTAATTCTACTAGATAAATATATTCAGTGCTTTCATTTTGTGACACTATGGGTGATAATTCTAGATCAGGTGAGAAATCGTTGCAGGACTTTGTGATCCTCAAATCAATTCAATAAATATTTGAACGTTCCATTCATTGAGTAAGTTTTTATTCTGTTGTATTATTTTTTAACCTTCTATTTATTTTTTTACTCTATTATAAAATTATTACTTTACCATATACTTCCTCTGATTGTCTTATCTTTTATCAGGCTCAATCAAAGTAGTACAATTTAAGGAGCTAAGGTCAGTCCATATCATTCTGTAACATGTGTAAGTATGACTGATATCATGTGCACAATTACAATGCCTCACACATAAAACGCCTCTGACTTTCTTTTCCCTTGCCCAGGTCCAGACATTCATTCATCTAAACTAACTAACTTTCTTTCTTAATCTCTTTCTTAATCTTTCTTTCTTTCTTTTTTTCTTTCTTAACCTTTCTTTCTTTCTTTCTTAATCTTTCTTTCCTTCTTTCTTTCTGTCCTTTTTTCTTTCCTTCCTTCCCTCACTCCCTCCCTCTCTCTCTCTTTCTTTCTTTCTCTCTTTGTTTTTAAATGGGATAAACCTACTTAAAAGGTGTTCTTTCCTCAAACCAACCTCATAATCAGACAGGGGCAACATTTGTTATTATCCTACCTAGATCATTTTGAAGATGTAACTAGAATTATTTGCATATACCACTTAATAGTTTTAATATAGTATATTTAGTTATGGTCATACCCACATGTATAGCTTCATGAGACTGGAATAATCTAATTAAAATGGAATAAACACAACACACACACACACACACACACACACACACACACACACACAGTTTCTACAGTTGTTCCTTGTTATCCAAGGGGAATTGGTAGTAGATCCTCTGCAGATACCAAAATTCTGACCAACACTCTTTCATATATTTTAACTTATCAATAGATTACTTATAATACTTAATGTAATCTAAATGCCTGGTTAGCAGCTATTACACTATTTAAGGAATAATGACAAGAAAAGGAGTCTGTACATGTTCAGTACTGATACAAGTCCCCTCCCTCTTACCATCCCGGGCATTTGCAATCCACAGTTGACAGAATCTTTGGATAGAGATCCTGGAGATACAGAGATCTTACTGTAATGTATATGTCAAAGAAAAGTGTCACCAGAGTTCCTATCTGTCTCCCTCCTGGTGTTTCCGAACTCAAAGGATGGCCAAGGAAAATGGAAGCATGATGTTCTTTGTTTCGTTTTGTTTGATCTGTAAAATATAAAGGAGAATAACAAACACTGTGAGAACTCAGTCCCTTTAGAAGGGAGTGAATGAGGAGAAAATGATGAAAACATAGTAGTTATATGATTAGTTACATCTTAAAAATCAGATGGCTTTTAATGTGTCTAAGAAAATGCAAATACAACTTGTAATCATTAATATTTTATTGGAATATTTGTTTCAATGAAAGTTTATATGAAAAAAATGTGGTTTATGTGAACAATAGAGTTTTACTCAGCCATGAAGAAAAATGAAATTATGTTATTTGCTGATAAATGGGGAAAACTCGAGTATATCATGGTAAGTGAAATAAGGCAGTCTCATAAAGGCATTGGTCAAATTTTTTTTTTCTCATACGTGGAAGACAGAATGTATATAAGAAAAAAGAATAAAAAGGATTTTATGAAAATAGAAGGGAAATTAAGAGAGTAGAGGAAAGGGATCTAGAGGGGGGAGGAGCAGAAGTATTGAGGGAAAAAATTACCAAATTATGCTACATGCGGGTACAAATATACTACAATGAATATATAGAATTATAATGCATTAATTAAAATAATAATAATTAAAATAGAAGGGGAATTAGTAAAGTAAGGGATCAAGGGCAGGGAGGAAATGAGGAAAACTAAAAGAATGAGAAATGAAAATGATAAAATTATGTTATATGCATGTACAAATAAGGCATAAATATTCTTTCTATTATGTATAATTATAGTGCTCTGAAATAAAATAAATGAAGGAAGAAATGTATTTTGTAAACACCCTCTTAGATTTTGATCCTAATGTATACCTTATGAATGTCCCATTGTATCTTTGATGAAAACAATCATCATTGATATGAGCAGGGTGTAAATTTTCACCCTATTAGCCAAATGAGTGGATTCAAATTTAAAGAAGTGAAGAATAATTACACATGAGCTATTGGAATTTTAGAACCAGAGATAAAGTTGGTGTAATATCATGATACACTGACGAATACACTGCATTTGGGGAAACATTGTGCACTTTATAGCTATGTTTTAAATAAAGAATCAGAACTTTGTGGTCCTACCTGAGTTCAATAAATTAGGAAGTCTGAAATGTGTATTGAACTACATTTTCATTGACCTTTTCTATTAACAAGAGTTTTCATTTTGATTGTTTGTTTTCAGGTAGGTGCTCATGTCTGCATCCATTAGTTCAAGTCCTACAAGGTAGCTATGTGAATAGAGTGGAGGTCATGAGGGGTCACATCCTTCAGCAACCATAGCATCTTTCCTTTCCCCAAACCAGCAAACATTAGTTTTTTTTTTTTTTCTTTTCTTTTTTTTTTCTTGAGTAACTGGTACTTTAACCCTGGGAGGAATAATTCTACAGAGGACTATAGTACTTTATTAATAAACGGAAGATAAATGTTATTAGCAAATTGTGGTCATTCCCACAAATATTGAAAATATGCCAGGGAGGGCTGACGGACCGACTGACGGGAGGGACAGGAGGCAGCAAGATGGCGCAGACTCAGGGCACCAGGAGGAAAGTCTGTTACTACTACGACGCGCCCTCACAAAGCCAATGCTGAGGAGATGACCAAGTACCATAGTGATGACTACATCAAATTCTTGCGCTCCATTCGTCCAGATAACATGTCTGAGTATAGCAAGCAGATGCAGAGATTCAATGTTGGTGAGGACTGTCCAGTATTCGATGGCCTGTTTGAGTTCTGTCAGTTGTCTACTGGTGGCTCTGTCGCAAGTGCCATGAAACTTAATAAGCAGCAGACGGACATCGCTGTGAATTGGGCTGGAGGCCTGCACCATGCAAAGAAGTCCGAGGCATCAGGCTTCTGTTACGTCAATGATATCGTCTTGGCCATCCTGGAACTGCTAAAGTATCACCAGAGGGTGCTGTATATTGACATTGATATTCACCATGGCGATGGCGTGGAAGAGGCCTTCTATACCACAGACCGGGTCATGACTGTGT